GACAGCAAAAATCTACCAAATCACTATCAGACAACAAAACACTCTTATTGGTATTAATTTTTCTCAAAAATAGGATAGGTAGGTACCTATAACAACCTAACTGACTTTCAGTGTCAGAAATCAATCAAATATAGTATAGTCAATAGAAGGAAGAACAAGTAGTAACTACCTACCTGCATCAGAATCAGTGGAAGAAAGTAAATAGGTAACGAAGGAAATTATTGAAGTCCTTTTATTTATTTCAACTTCACTTTTTGAGCTAATATAGATTCCTCATACATATAGGTAACCAGACATCAATAATACATACCTAGGTAGTAGTAGGCAAAGATTTGAAAGTTTTGCAAAGGGAAGTAGATAGGTAATAAGGTAATTATTTCCATATACTATACTTAGGTTCCTCGTTCCTCCAAAAGTTAAAAAAAAAACTTTATCATTACCCAAACTATTAGTGCTAAGGTACCTACATTACATTGTAGGTAGGTATATGTAATGATCAGCAAATACTTTCAAAGCAGCAAAACACTGTTTCATAGTTTGTGTTAATTAGGTATTTACACTTTGAGATACCTATGTCAATTTGCAATTTCCATCTACATCTACCTATTAAGTTGGCTTAGGCGCTTGGGTGACAAAACAAACGACGAACTATGACCTATCTTCTATCTTCGTACTTCCGGTTCGTACTCATAGCTCATAGCATCTCATAGGTTATCTTAGAAACCGATATTACCGTGAAGTTTCGCCTTATACGCAGTCCATTTTACACGCCAAACTCGTATTTTATTCAAAAGAAACCGGCAAATAACAGATATGTTGTATTACAACGAGGATACAGCGCTGAGGAGATGAAAAGGCTTTTTTAAAGTCAGTCTCCTCATGCTCGAATGAAAGCCGTTCTGCTGGAACAACGGTCGGCGCGACCGTTGTTCCAACGGAATTCGTCGATGAGGCGTTGCCGTGCTGGTCCGCGATGCGGAGGTCTCGTCAGCGTTGCCAGACGGTCCTCCGAAAATCCGTAGCTTTGGTGACAAAATATGGTTTTTTGATACGTTTCTCTACAACAAAATTATTTGAATCATCAACTTGAACAGCATTTTTACATGCACGCAGAGTAAATTTTGCAGTATGATAGACAGTTTAAAAAACAATAATTCGGAAAAATTTTGGTGAAATTAGGTCTTGATTCTCTTGAAATTATTGGGCTTTTGACATAATATGATTAGCATGTGCTTCGTTTGTTTCTTGTCCATAGAAATAGAAAACGAGAACTCGAAACGCATCGCTCAAAAACATACCTATTCAGTCAATCTACATTTGCTGCCGTTTGAAACATCAAACATTTTCTTTAAATGTAGTAGTTTCGACATAATCTTGAAAAATGTGTGAAAAAATTATTTTTTCAACACTTGTATCTTGATAACGGATGCCGTTACTAAATTTTTTTACTGAGTAAACCCAACTTATTTTGCAGTGTTCTACCTACCCTAGCAAGGGGGTCAGGTTTTTTTGAAACACCCTGTATATCATTTTGTTATCAGATGACGGTGGAAATCTTCAGCCGGATCTCCTACTATTAAGAAAGTTTCCAAAACATTAGATAATTCCCGAACACGCCGTAGGTGACATGACTAGTGTCAAATCAGCTATATTTTGTCTTCTGTACAAAATCGAAAGTAAAAAAAAAATGCCGAATATTTGTGGTGACCTGACAATTTTAAAATTCAACGCGATCTTGATAGGAGTAGCCAGTTTTTTGTTTTTTTCTGGCTGGTGGATTATGGTTGACGTCAATGTGCAATACAAAAAAATTATCGACGATTCCAAAGTGTATCACATTCCAGGAATAATGGGAACATTTGCAATGGTAGGTGAGTTATGTGTGATCATAGATATACAGTGTCATTCATAAAGTTGGCATCATATGGCAAAAACCGAGTGAAAAACTTTTAATATAATGATATTTGTCCCAAAGGAAAGTAAAAACAATGTAGTTCATCGAACGGCACCTGTGCCAATCACTATCCTGAGCAAAATGATTAAATACCTAATTGCATTTTCGTTTTGTCGGTGTATATTTTTTCCTAAATTACAGACATTTCGTAGAATTTGAAAAAATATCATGAACTGAAAGTTGTAATAGAATGTTCAATGTTGAATCCAAGACACATTGTCTAAACTAGAAATTGAAACAACTTTTCTTCGTAAACTTTATTGAAATTTAAACAAATAAACCTATTTTCAGCGGTAAATTGAAAAAAAAAAAACTTTCGACATGTAGCGACCGTCACGTGACCACGGCCGATTTTCAATATACTTGACGCCGAAGTCGAATTTCTAAATAAATCATTATTGAAAGTGTATCCCATATTATAATGCTGATTTTATGAATGACACTTTATTCGCGGGTGTCCAATAAGTCATGGGTCAAAAGAAGTGGGGTGGTAGGAGGGGACACCCTGTATAGGTGAAACAATCTAGGAGTTCGCAAAGATACTAAGATAAGCGATATGCCTTATACAGGGTAATAAAAAAGTACCTACCATTTTTGGCGACTTACTTGAACATTAATTTGAAATGAAATAAGATGGAGTATAACGACGTATAATCCTTTTTTTTTTCAGGTACTTGTCAACATGATACCATCAGAATTGCTTTATGATAGCGGCTACTCGAATGGATGCTGTTCTCCATCTGTTGCCAGAATTTCTCTACTTTTTGCTCTTATTTGCAGTTTTGGATGTGCCATCGGAGCTAGCTTTATACTTATCAATGATTTCATCTTGGATCAAAGCAAATATCAGTGGCCTGGCTATGGAATTTTCATACAGAATTTGTGTGTATTTGCTTGTTCGATCATGATACGATTTTGTAAAAAGAACGAATGGTAAATAAAAAAAACAGTAAAGATCAGTTATTATTACCTAAGTACAATTAATATTTTTCTGTGAAATTATTTTTTTATAGTCACTCGTCGATCTTTATCCTTGTAGATATGCAACAATAACAGAGGCAGAGGCTCTCCTAATGATGTGATCCATCTTTAAAGTAGATAAATTAGGTATCTGACTAATTTTTCACACTGTAAAATCTCGAAATATACGGGAATATAAACTATATACAGACATAACAGAAAAGAGGTGAAAGATTTATATTCAGTTGATCCACAAGGTAAATGTTATAGGTAGTATAGAACGTTTTGTCCAGGGAAATTTTATTTTCAAAAAGTTCTCGAGTTCTCCCTGTATTTATGACCACTATGACCAGTTCCTTGTAGAATTATTAACTTAAAAAAAAATAAATTGAATGGGGAATGAAAAGCCTTTGCATACGAAGAGTATCAAGAAAAATAACTGCAAAACGGTATCTAGATGAGATTGCAATAAAAAAAAACTAAAAAATTCCGGTACCGGGAATCGAACCCGAGCCTCCTGGGTGAGAGCCAGGTATCCTAGCCACTAGACCATACCGGATTATATATATTGGCAATGTATGCAAGCTTGAAAGATTGCATTGTAAGAGAGGAAATAAAAACAGAAAACTGTCTCATCATGAAAATGATAGAACCCTGTATTATCATGAAAACAAAACTCAAGGAGTAGACTCTTTGAATAATAGATGGCGTTGGTAGAGAATGAATATTTATAGTCACAAAAATCGTAGATGAATGATTAAATGTGTAAATTATTCACCGTCACCCTTAATTCATTGTAAACTTCTGATTGAATAAGATATTCATCTCGATATCTACCTAGACATGAAATATCTTAATCCGAGTATCTATTCTTTTGTTAAATTTGTCAGTCCTCGGTAGTATAGTGGTCAGTATCCCCGCCTGTCACGCGGGAGACCGGGGTTCGATTCCCCGCCGGGGAGGATTTTTTTTTAAATAGATTCTCACTTTATTTGCCTGTTTATCTGTTTAACGGATGAAAATTATTTTATTTCTGACAGTGACATTATAAGCTTATATTGTCATAGTTACGATATCTATTATGAGGGTCATAACTCCCTTGGGATGTTATAGATGCTATAATTCCCTCTAACTAAAATTGAATAAGAAATGCATAGCAACAACCACGCAGTAACGTAGCAATAAGGAATCTCCTATTCGCGGTAGTCAAGATCATCATCTGACGTTCTAATGACATTGAAACTATACGGAAAAACATGTCTAACTTCCAATCGGGAAGGTATCTAATGAATGAAATCAGTCAGAAATAAAATTATCTATGTATCACGGGAATTACTGAGCCTCAATAACCTCAGGCAATTGCTGTCCCTCGGGCCAGAGGCCCTCGGGACGCAAACTTTGCCATCGGTAATTAAGGCCCTCATAATTCCCTTAATACATAAATAACTATTATAAGTAATTTAGCATCTGAAAAGTCAAAATTTTTACACCTTCCGCCGTAAGTACAGAGCCTATTATATAGAATATGCAAACGTAGAGTTGCCAGGGTGAACAGGTATTTTGGTCCTAAATATTTTCACCTACATGTTTAATCTGTAAATTAAACATAAAAATTAACGCTGTTTTATTGCAAACACAATGAAACAGGGTTGCCCACAAAAAGTCTGTCCAAAATATCGGTTTATACCTGGCAACCCAATAGTTAGACCGGAAAAAATATAGACAACCCTACGTTTGCATATTCTATACGCTTTGTACTGTAATGTAAAATTTTTCCATCAAACTCATAGGTAGAAATTAAAAAAAGGAATTTTTTATTTTTGATTAATTATAACAAGGATATTTTCAGGCAGACCATTTTTTTCAATAATTTTCATTATGCTAAACTACTAATGAAATAATGTTCATCCATTAAATAAATGGGTGAAGGCCAACCTTACTTCGGATCCTCTACAATCTGTATATCAAGTTTTTTGAAATACTTTCAATTGATACTCGAGCAAGGAAATTTGAAATCGATAATATTCCACCTTTTGATTATAAAACTAAAAGCGATTTGGAAACTTACCGCCAAGCATCACTTTTTGACAACCACGACTTTCCTCTAGTTGACACTTGACAACAAACCCCTCAAAAAAAATTCAAAGTCCCGCAATATGTTCGCATCGGCAGGCACAGCCTTGAAGCTCCACAGCTGGGCCGACAACCAGCTGCAACCCCTATCAATCTACAAACCCAAGAGGCTATTCGGAACCGCCTCCAGACTGACAGACATCTCTTGGTGCCACGACAACAGCTACATAGCCGTCCTCCAGGAAAAAAACCAGCCACAAATCCTCTCCTCCAAAGACCGCACCAACCTCAACCTAGTCCACACCATCCAAACTTTGAAGCTCGCCAGCGCACTCAGCTTCAAGCGTCACACCAAAAGAACCCTAGCGCTAGGCAATGAAGAAGGTGAAGTTGTACTTTACGACACCAAGAATAGAAACATAGCCAGAAGAGTAGCCAGTTTGGGCAATGCTATAAACCTCCTCGAATTCAATAGCTCTGATGACCGCCTTGCAGTGGTAACTGAGCGTTCCCTCAGCACCTTCTCAGACCTGGACGGAGTCAACAACTTCGTGAAGGAAGCTGAGTACCCAGAGCTTTGCTCTTCAGTAACATTCCATCCTAGCTGCCCGCAGCTACTAGCTGATGGTACCTCTGATGGCACAGTGACACTCAGAGACCTGGAGAAGGGCGAGGTGATAACCACCTGGCACAAGCACTCAGCTTCAATTTCAGGCATTTCTTTTGCCAGACACCAAAAGGTTATGGTTACCACTGGTATGGACAACAAGATCTGCGTTTTGGACCATTCTACTGCGGAATGTCTGTTCAGGATGAATATTCATCAGCCAGTGACTTCTAGCTCTCTCAGCCAGGATGGCAGCTTCATAGCTGCGGGTTTGGAGGACGGTTACGTGTACATCTATGATCTTCGGGAGCCTTTGAAGCCTTTGGTGTGCGATAAGACGCACAACTGTCCCGTGAACAAGGTTTCTTTCGAGCGGTGCATACCCTGCAGGTAGGGAAGGGAAAATTTCCCTTTTAATTATAATGAAATATATGGAATTCATTAGAATTTCAAGCAGGGTTAGTTAATCGATATACAGGGTGTTCCTTAATGATATGCTTACCATTTCAAGAATTAGACTTTTTATGAACGTATCTCGTCAAGTCCTATCTGTATTTTTTCCTAATGGCAAAATTCAGTCTGCTATGTGACTTGATCGGTAACAAAATTACGAAATTTTACATACTTGTCAGGAGTAATCATACCTATGAAGACATCCATTTCGATGCTTCGTGTTACTATCAGCAATAACCTTTCTTGGGAAAATCACGTGAGATCAACTGCTGAAAGTGCATCCCAAAAACTTGGTTTTCTGTTTCGGGCCAGGAGCTATTTCACTTCCAGTCAGCTTCTTATAATCTATAAGGCACAGATACGACCTGTGCTGGAATACTGTTCCCATATTTGGAGTGCAGCACCCAAACACACCCTGAAACTGTTGGAATCTGTCCCAAGAAGGGCAATTCGTCTCGTGGGTGATGCCTCTCGCTCACAATCTCACTCACTTCTCTGGAACATCGTAGAAAAGTTGACGATCTGGCTCTATTTTATAGATATTTTCATGGACGATGCTCTTCTGAAATATCAACAATTGTTCCTCCCTTGGCAGTCCCCGCGAGATTAACCCGTCGAGTTGGGGCTTCGCACCCCTTCGTGGTCACTTTGGAGACCTGCAGAACATCTCTTTCCAAAGACTCGTCCATCCAACGAACAGCGAGGCTCTAATACATATTGCCAAGGGCGGTGTTCCCCGAGGCATATAACCTCCAGAAATTTAAGAAGAACACCAATTCCTACCGTATTTCCCTTGGTTCTCACGATGTTCTCTGAACATTACAGGATATCCCTTTTCGTGGAAACCAGAACGTAAAGAAAAATACCAGAATTTTATTTCTGACTGGAAGCCTGTACTGGAAGCTAGTTCCTCTATGAACAATAAACAATTTTCCTTTCCACAGAAATTTAGTTAGGTGTGAAATTTTCAGGGAAAACAGCATTCCCGAGAGAACATCAGCGACTACCCTTAGCGAGTATGGGGAAAGCCGATCGGAGGTCTCCCACTCCATGGGGGATGTCGAGAAGCAGGAGTGCTTCGAAGGGAAGCTCAAGAGAGACTTGCTGAAGAGCGTGAAGAGTCACATGGGCTATTTGGAGGGACAATTGGCGGAGCATTGCGCCAAATTCCAGATGTTTGTCAATAACGAATTCGAGGCTATTCACGGGGCCATGGCTAGATGGGACGTTTTCAATGTGGCTGATACTTGCGACGGCGTGCAAGATGCCAAGACTGTGAAAAGCACATCGAATAAATGAGCGGAATTAATGTGTTTGTTTTTTTCAGCGCTACCGTAATAGGTCGCGTGCATGATGACCGACCCTGGAGGCAAAATATTGAAACACAACCTCATTCTTCTGTGGATTATTGAAACACAACCTCACTTTTTTATTTGGTTACAGAGGAATCAGAGGATTGAACTAGTTTTTGACAATATTTTGGCATACGAATCGTGTTTTTCGCGCTATTCATTAATTCAAGCATGCCTTCGCATTGTGCTGTTGTACAATGCACAAAAAGTGCAGCAAGAGACTAAAGAATATGATTTTTCAGGTAAATAGTAATCTCACATAGTTGTTATTATTATGAAATGTTGTCATTCCTTATTAAAATTCCTTCTGCCTTCTGCCACTCCTGCAATACAAGCTAATACTGCTAATAGATTGAAAATGTCTACAACACACACGATCGTCAGCATGTCAGACCAGTCCTCCCGATTGATTGCATGAATCCAATTTTCTGGCATTATTTTAGAAATTTCAGATGTATTTCTATTAGCTTCTATCGCAGAAAGAATTCCGATGAGAAATCAGAGAAATTACCAAATTTCAAAAATGAAAACTATATGTGAGTGACTATAGTAGGTACTTACTTTTGAATCATATTGTACCAACCGGATTACTTCGTCTTCCGCTGCAGTTTTTGTGCATTTCACAACAGCAAAATGTGATGGCATGAGCGAATTGATGAATAGCGGAAAAATACGATTCGTATGCCAAAATAATTGTGAAAAACTATTTCAATCACTTGTAAACGAATAAGTAAAGTGACGTTTGTGTTTCAATATTTTGCCTCCAGTGTCGGTCGGTTGACAGTTCTTGCACGCAACCCATATGGGGATACTTTTCTTCTTCTTGTCCTAGCCTAAAAGATGCATGAGTTGATGTACTGGGTGATTCACCATAAATGTCCCCCCCCTGTAGCTCAGTTATTTTTGTACAGATTTCAAAATTTGAAATATCATCTTAAATGATTTTCGATAAAGTTTTTTTCCGCTACATCAAAAAATACAGTGTGCTCTGAAGAAATGATCTACAGGGTACTATTTGATTTTTTTTAATGGAACACCCAATTTTTCATTGAATTTTTAGATTCTCCCTGAAGAGCTGATTTCATCAATGCATCACACTTGGGGTCTAGCGAGAATGATTACAGTGTTCAAAATCGAGATTTTTAAACTTTAGAATATTTTTGTGACGAAACTATTCATTATTATCGGTCAAAACGGCTTTCATGTCCGTCTCAACTTTTAATTTACTATCTACTGACATGAAATTACGAGAACTACCTTGGTATAGAAAAATACGCTTCACGACTTGAAAAGGGGCAAATAAAAGTAGATTCTACAGAAGATAATTTTGTAGTGGTGATACAAAAAATTTCATTTTGATCTTGGTGAGCCCTGGTATATAGGTAATCAATCATGAAATTCATTTAAATTGATAATGGGGAATTTTCGGCTCATTTGAACATCCAAAAGGAAAGCATTTTTATTTTTCATGGTTTCCTTTTGGATGTTCAACAGATATTTTGTTGAATATTATGTGCAAAAATTTTAGGAATCATCTAGAATGATTACTCAGAAATGTCTTTTCCGCTGCTCGGAACAGACGATCTACAGGGATACTATAGTTGATTTTTTCAAATGGGACACCATGTATTTTATTGCATTTTCAGATTTTTCCTGAAGAGCTGATTTCATCAATGCATTACACTTGGGGTCGAGCAGGAATGATTACAGAGATATAGGGTGTTTAAAATCGAAATTTTTCAACTTGAGGATTTTTTGTGTCAAAACTATTCATTATAGTTCAAAACGGGTTTCATGTCTCTATCTAAACTTTTGATTTACTAACTCCAGACATTTACTTGGAACAGAAAGAGAATGATCAGAATTCTGAATCTTGAACCAACCTGTATTTGTTCCAATTAAATCGTAGTTTCGACAGAAAAAAAAATTATAAAGTTGAAAAAGCTCGATTTTGAACACTGCTCGAATCCCGCTAGACCCCAAGTGTTATAATATAATAATAGTACTTTATTGAACCAAACATAATCCAAAGGGTTATTGACCGAGGTCCTGCTACCCTAAGTGTTATATATTTATGAAATCAGCTCTTCAGTGAAAATCTAAAAATGTAATAAAATACAGGGTATTCTATTTGAAATAAACCTTCTACTAAAAGCAGCAACACTGCATTGTCCTGTATACTGAATAATACAAACGAGGATATCCCATTGAGAGGATGAAATGAAGGAAAAAAATCAGGTCCATTCATTTTATTGGAGTCTATAAACAAGAACAAATCGTTAGTATGACGTTGACAGTTTCTTCGTTCCAGTATATCTCATACTCAAGACGAAATCTATTGTTCTCACCACGAGAAAATAGAGAGAGTATAACCAAATTTAAACTAAACTTAACACTAGGGATGATATTTTTATAAACAATGATATAAATATATAATGACTTACAGTAGAAGGTAAATATAAATCTCTTATAGTATAAAACACGATTCCAGTAGTTTCATAAAAAAAAGGCTGGAGACCAACGATTTGAGTGATACTAAGTTACTAAGGATCTACTGGTTGAAGTTCTTTTTCCTGAACAGATTTATAGTTATAAAAATAAAACCTAAGTGGTAACAAAAGTGTTCTATCCTCGCCCATCAGTGTCCAAATCACTTTTCATTTTTCACCCATATTTTTTTTACCAAATACATATTAGTAAAACCATGGGCCCTATGTTTTCAAGGATGTGTTCTTCTTTTGCTTTTCGTTGGAGATTCAGAAGCTGTTTTTTTTCAAGAGGAACAAGACAAGAAAATCAACTAAAACTCTTTTTTTTCTGTGATACAAATGAAACAAAATTTTTGTTCCCTATGTACAGGGTGTTCCTAAGAGATTTGTACAAAATCTCAGCAGATATTTCTGAGGTAAAAATAAACCGATGTGAAGCAACTTACCTTAGGACGAAACTGCTCCATTTCTGAGATACAGGGTTGTGCAGTTAAAAAATAAAAATGGAGTTTTCCAAAATGTATGAACGTTTTAGAACGTATCTATTCAAAAATTGGTTGCCGGAGGCTTCTTGGGATGGGAATGGCCATAACTTTTTTTCTCAGTGTAGTTATTCACTTATTTGTTTATTTCTAGCAAAAAATGTACACCTGTGGAAATTTGCTGAAGTAAACCGTTTCCGAGATATTTCGGTTTGTATTGTTCAATGCCTCACGGGAATATTCAATTTATTTTGAATAAAAAATGTTTGCTGTTATCTTCGTGGATGTGATTTGGTCAGTGAATAGGCAGTGCAAAAATGGATTTTTCAAAATACTTTGTCGATTCTTATTTCTTAAATTTACCACCCTGTATCTCGGAAGCGAAGCAGTTTCGTTGCTTTAAATCGGCGTATTTTGACCTCATTTTTCGATATACAGGTGGTGTGATATTTTCTGTTTTCCAGGTTTTGCCACTGTTTCATTAGCACTTCTTGTATAAAATTTCTGATGATGCCAATGGATTCTACGCATCATTCAATATGGATAAAATACTCAGAAAATAAAAACGAAATCGGCAATTTTTCAATTTCCCCCAGTATCTCTGAAACGAATGGAGATATCAAAATTCCAATTGTACCATTCGAGGTTTCTCTAAAATCGAACCCGTAACATGTATATCGATTTTTTGATAACTCTTTCAGTTACTGAGATAGCCTATGAAAACGCCCAATTTTGCCCACCCTGTACATCTCCGTTTAAAAATATGTGATCTTCAAACTGTTGAAGTCCTGCAACAAAACCGACTCACCCTGTATAGATTATGAGAGATCATACAGTGTTATACAAATAAATGTTGATACTTAAAGAAAAACGCATACCTTTCCAACAACAAAAACAAACAACAAGTGTTCCTCCCAAAAAACCAAGTCAGCAACAACCACCCTTCTCCCCCCCCCCCCCTTCTCAATACCCCGTCGCATAATTAATAGTAGCAGCAACCGTTCCGTCCCCCTCCAAATCCAAGAACGGCATACTATTCGGACTGACGAACGGCACCGGAGCGCCAGGCTGCCCGCTATCGTTGGCCACGCCCACCTGTTGCTGCCCACCGGGTGTCTGCGCGTCGGGCAGCGCCTGCGCGGTCGCAGCTTGGGCAGCGGGAGTCGGTGCGGGCGGCTGCGGCGATCGGGGCGGCGACGGGCTGTCGAGGTTGATGACCGACGGGCTGACCGGGTAGCCGCTGCTGGAGACCGAGGCGGGACCGGGGGTGGCAGCGGCGGCGGCGCGGGATTGGGTGCCGTTCGACGACAGGCTCGTCGAATCTACAACGGCAAACGCGAGGATTTGTCAGAGGCGGCGAACTATCGACGGGAGTATACACCTTTTTCAATTGTAATTCAGAAAGTATAAGATGTAATTCAGAAAGTATAAGTTGTAATTCAGAATAGTTAATTGTAATTCAGAAAGTATAAGTAGAAATTCAGATTCGTAAATTTTAATTCAGTAAGCGTAATATGTAATTCAGATTAGTCAAATGTAATTCAGAAAGTGTAACTTGTAATTCAGAATAGTGGAATGTAATTCAGGTACCGTCAATTGTAATTCAGAAAGCATAACTTCTAATTCAGAAAGTATCACTTATGATTCCATAGTATTTATGAATTTTAAGTGATGCTTTCTGAATTACAAATTACGCTTTAAAAATTACAATTGACGATTCTGAATTACAAGTTAAACTTTCTGAATTACATTTCACTAATCTGAATTACAATTGACTAATCTGAATTACAATTGACGCTTTCTGAATTACAATTATTAACTATGTATTCTGAATCACAAGTTACACTTTCTGAAATACATTTAATTAATCTGAATCACAAGTTACACTTTCTGAATTACAATTGAAAAAGGTGAAGTATAATACAGTGCGTCCATAAAGTAACGCATAAACTCATTATTGGCTAAATGAACAATAAAATTAGAAATTCCCGAAACAGGTCGATTTTTGATTTCAATTTACTATTGTTTCAAATCATAATCTTATATACAGGGTGCCACTTTCGTGTAATGACGTCATCACCATTTTTTTCAAATGGAAACCCCCCCTTTTTTTTCAATTTCCAAATTGCCTTTGCTGAGCTGATTCCAAAAATGTATAATATGTTGCTTCAAATTGGTACAGGGTGGGCAAAAATGCAAAAATTTACTTACAAAGTAATAAAAATATTGAATAAACGTAATAAACACATTAAATGAAATTACGTATTGTTATACAACTACTTTGATAAACTATCAAGAACATCCAGCATCATTCTTAATAATTGTATCTTACAGCTTTTATTAGTGATCGAAGCCCGTGGACTATAAAAATCTGTTTGTTTGGCATTATCTTTTACCATTTTTTTAATTTGACAAAACTGTCAAAAACATTGAAGCACAGTTTCGTATTGTTAACGCTTTAGAGAAGGTACGTTCGTATTACTTTCCATAAACAATTTTCATATTTTTTTTGCATTTTTGCCCACCCTGTACCAATTTGAAGCAACATATTATACATTTTTGGAATCAGCTCAGCAAGGGCAATTCTGAAATTGAAAAAAAAGGGGGGGGTTCCATTTGAAAAAAATGGTGATGATGTCATTACACGAAAGTGGTTCACCCTGTATATAAGATTATGATTTGAAACAATAGTAAATTGAAATAAAAAATCGACCTATTTCGGGAATTTCTAATTTTATTGTTCATTTAGCCAATAATGAATTTATGCGTTACTTTATGGACGCACTGTATAATGGTCATGTTCCGATATTACTGACATTATTCCAGATTTTTTAGGATTTCCTCGTCTCTATAAAATGAAGAATAAAAATATTAATACTATTTCTATAAACGTGTAGTTAGGACAATAGTTATTTATTATACAAGGAAAAAAAGTAGTAGATTTTAGCTCCAGGTTGTGTCGTCTCTCGACGCGTAGCGGCGAGACCTTGTATCTCCGAAACGAAGCATTTCCGGACAAAAGTTTCTATATACTTTTTTTCTTAAAATTGTCTCAGGAATACGTCTCTAAAATATTTCAACGTACTTATATTACACCTTGTATATTTCGATATCACCTTGTATATTTATTTTTTGCAGCTTTTCGTACCTATTTTCGTGCAAAAAAACTCATTTTTTGCAAAACTTATTTTCAAAATGCGAACAAAACAATCAATTTCAACACCCTGTATCTCTGAAACAAAGCATTCCCGGTCACAAGTTTATATATATACTTTTTTTTTCAGAATTGTCTCAGGAATAATTGGTCCCTTGAATATTTCAACGTACTTATATTACACCTTGTATATTAATTTTTTGCAGTTTTACATAGATCACCCAGTATCTACGATATTCTAACCTATTTTCGTACAAAAAACTTATTTTTTGCAAATCTTATTTCTAAAAAGCGAACAAAAAAAAATCAATTTCAACACACTGTATCTCCGAAACGAAGCATTTCCGGACAACAGTTTGTGAATACTTTTTTTCTTAAAATTGTCTCAGGAATACGTCCCTCAAATATTTCAACGTACTTATATTACACCTTGTATATTTCGATATCACCTTGTATATTAATTTTTTGCAGCTTTACATAGATCACCCCGTATCTACGATTTTCGTACCTATTTTCGTGCAAAAAAAACTATACTGTCTGTAGGTTAATCGAGGAGGTGGTATATTCATTTTACTTGGTTCTTTGGGATTTTCTCTCCTCGTTTCTATAAAATAAAAGTATTCGTATTATTTCAATATATTTGTAGAGGGACAAATCAGATGATTTGCCCCAAAATGTCACTGCGTTTAACAAATTTTTCTATCAGGGAGTCTAAAAGAAAAATCCAGTAGCTTGTCAGTGACAATTTGTTTGAAAAAATTTTTGAAGGAAAGAAAATAAATATAGATATATTGAAAAATATCGAATTTTTACTTATCTTATCATTTCGAGCAGAATCGGTCCCGAAACGTCCAAAGATAAGTAAAAATTCGATATTTTTCAATATATCTATATTTCTTTCCTTCAAAAATTTTTTCAAACAAATTGTCACTGACAAGCTACTGGATTTTTCTTTTAGACTCCCTGATAGAAAAATTTGTTAAACGCAGTGACATTTTGGGGCAAATCATCTGATTTGTCCCTCTACAAATATATTGAAATAATACGAATACTTTTATTTTATAGAAACGAGGAGAGAAAATCCCAAAGAACCAAGTAAAATAAAAAAAACTATTTTTTGCGAAACCTATTTTTGAAAAGCGAACAAAAAAATCAATTTCAACACCCTGTATCTTTGAAACGAAGCATTTCCATTTTCCGGACACAAGTTTATATAGACTTATTTTCTCATAATATATATATATTTTAACGTACTTATATTACACCTTGTATATTTCGACATCACCTTGTATATTTATTTTTCGCAGCTTTACATAGATAACCCCGTATCTACGATGTTCGTACATATTCAATTAGGATTTTTTGTCATATCTATCGACGGTTTGGATGATTCATTTTGGGGATGATATAATGATGACTCGGTGGTAGAATGATTAATTTATTCGTTTGAGATGGCAGTTGTTCTCAGTACGTGATCGAAGTAGGGTGTGTGAAGAATAAAATAAGTGAGGCACGATAAATATTATATATCTCTCTGTGTCTTGAGTGTTAAGTGTCCCTATAACATAGTGTTGAAAGTGTCAGTGGAAGTGATTGTGTTTTTATTGGACCCTATCAGTGTTGATTTTGTGTTGCTTAGAATTGGGGTAAGTGTCAATTTTGGTTATTCGCATGATTTTTTTCTTATTTTTATTTGAGAAGTTTCAAATTTGTACACCATACGCTGTTATTGAATATGATACTTTCTTACCAAAAAGCAACAGGTATGTCACAACGAGCTTACACTATCTTTATATCAAGAATCAGCCGAGAGAAATGCATAAAAATGTGTATGATTCTATTTTATAATACGCTATCTTCATTGAAAATATTTTCGACAATGCAGTGTTGCCGCTTCTTCTAGACAGTAGTAGCAAAATTGATATTTCAAATGGAATACCCTGTGTAAAAACTTCACAAACGATAAGATTTCCACAAAATTCTCAAACACACGACATGTTTCGCTAACACAGTAGCTTCGTCAGGTGATATACTGGTACAATGAACTAACTAACGTTGGCTTACTTGACTTTTATACAGGGTGTCTGTAAAAGGTCTTTACAAAATAAGTCGATATAAGTAAAATTACCTCAGTACAAAGTTGCATCGTTTAGGCTCCAGAGGGCCTTGAAGTTACAATTTTTAAATCGTTTTTCCCATATAAATTTAAAACGGCATATGCGATTTTGCTGAAATTTGGCATATTGATAGAGTTTTATGTGGCGAAAGAAATGGTGTTGAAATTTTGTCCGATAATAAAACATAGGCGTAGAACTTGAATTTTTAAATAATTGCACCCTCAAAAATTCTACGCCAATGGAAGAAAAGGAGTTTGAGTATGAAATTTAGATTGCGCAACTCATTTACTTCAAAAAAGGTACTCTTGATAAGACTCGATTGCTCTCATGGTTTTCACGAAATTAGCATTTTAGTAATTTTAGAACATAAACAATAATCATTAAAATACAAACTTTGTTAAAACCATGAGAGTAAACCGAGTGTTATCAAGGGAGCTTTCTTGTAGTAAATGAGTACCCAATCCAAATTTTATACTCAAATCCCTTTTTTAAAGGTGCAATTATTTAAAAAATCAAGTTCTACGCCTATGGATTAATATCGGAAAAAATTTTAACACCATTTTTTTGCCACATAAAACTCTATCAATAAACCAAATAATTTCAGAAAATCGCATATGCCGTTTTAAATTTATATGGGAAAAACGATTTGAAAATTGTAACTTCTAGGCCCTCTGGAGCCCAAACGATGCAACTTTGTACTGAGGTAATTTTACTTAAATCGACTTATTTTGGTCTACGGAATATGTGGTATGTTTTTGTAAAGACCTTTTAGAGACACCCTGTATAAGCATGCATATTTTTATGGATTTCTCCAGACTGATTGATTGATATTGAGATAGTGTAAGCTCGTCGTGACAAACCCTATACAGGGTGTTATTTAAATATGTGGCCAAACTTCAAGGGCACATTTTTTTAGAGATTCTAAGGAGAAGTTCATGTGACCATAGCTTGAAAAATGCATAATTTTCAAGATACTCAGTGTCAAACTTTCTCGAAAAATAGGTTATTTGTAAATCTAGTAATGGCTTAATTAATCAGTACCTTACTACTA